ACAAAAAGATACCCTACAGTATGGGAGAATATATTCATAAATGACAGATCTGATAAAGGGTTTACATCCAAAATATATAAAGAGCTCACGCACCTCAACAAACAAAAAGCGAACAATCCAATTAAAAAATGGGCAGAGGAGCTGAACAGACAGTTCTCCAAAGAAGAAATTCAGATGGCCAACAGACACATGAAAAGATGCTCCACATTGCTAGTTATCAGAGAAATGCAAATTAAAACCACAATGAGATATCACCTCACACCAGGAAGGATGGCAACCATCCAAAAGACAAACAACAACAAACGCTGGCAAGGTTGTGGAGAAATGGGAACCCTCCTACACTGCTGGTGGGAATGCATATTAGTTCAACCATTTTGGAAAGCAGTATGGAGGTTCCTCAAAAAGCTCAAAATGGAAATACCATTTGACCCAGGAATCCCACTTCTAGGAATTTAACCTAAGAATGCAGCAGCCCAATCTGAAAAAGACATATGCACCCCTATGTTTATTTTATTTTTATTTATTTATTTACTTATTTACTTACTTACTTGTTTATTTATTTATTTTTTGGTGGAGTAACAGGGGATCTTTATTTTTTAAGACATGTGCTAGATTTTCTACAATGAACATACTTTTGTAATAAGAACAAGCACCATAAAAAATCAAAGCTGGAAGGACACCTTGGTAGTCCCTTCCCAGCACCTTGCACAGTGCCTGGCACAGAGCAGGTGCCCCATGAGCACCTGTTGTATGAAAACTCTAAAAACCTCTGTACTGGGCTCTTTAGATGACTCACCAGGAAGGGCCCCACCTGGGGATGGGAACATATGGCAGTGCACCCCTATGTTTATTGCAGCACTATTTACAATAGCCAAGAAATGGAAGCAACCTAAGTGTGCATCAGTAGATGAATGGATAAAGATGTGGTACATATACACAATGGAATATTATTCAGCCATAAGAAGAAAACAAATCCTACCATTTGCAACAACATGGATGGAGCTAGAGGGTATTATGCTCAGTGAAATAAGCCAGGTGGAGAAAGACAAGTACCAAATGATTTCACTCATATGTGGAGTATAAGAACAAAGGAAAAACTGAAGGAACAAAACAGCAGCAGACTCATAGAACCCAAGAAAGGACTAACAGTTACCAAAGGGAGAGGGACTGGGGAGGATGGGTGGGAAGGTAGGGAGAAAGGGGTGGAAGAAGAAAGGGGGCCTTATGATTAGCATGTATAATGTGTGGTGGGGGGACAGGGAGTGCTGTGTAACACGGAGAAGACAAGTAGTGATTCTATAGCATCTTACTATGCTGATGGACAGTGACTAATCGGGTATGTGGGGGGGACTTGGTGAAGGGGTGAGTCTAGTAAATATAATGTTCCTCATGTAATTGTAGATTAATGATACCAAAATAAAAAAAATAGAAAATAATAATAATCTTAAGCCCTTAAGTGTGCCACCTATCTAAGGTTGCCTGTACTTTCCCCCTTCTTTGAGTGTATACTTTTTAAATAAAGCCTTCTCCCTGCTTGAATTGCTGTTTTGTGTCTTGGTCTTCCAGTGGTAAATGTCTTTGCCACTTTACTATTTCATTCTATTTTCCAGACTTATGTACAAGTCTTTAGTATGACTCTGTTCTACTCCAGATAAGTAGGGAGGGCCTACTGCGAGCTCTGATTTGGGCTTGCAAGTTCCCATCACATGGGTGACCTGGACAGCACTGGGGCTGTATAATCATGCTCTTTAGTAGCCTGCCTGAAAATCACCTTTCTTTGCCCTTGGGAAATTTTCAGAAAATAATCTCACTCCATCCAGTGCTCTGTCGCTCCCCCAATCTTGGGGTGGTAGGGGCTTAGTCCCTAAGCAGTGCAGGTCCAAGCTCACCCTGGCTTTAGGAGTTGGCAAGGGATTTTCTCTATGCTGAGCAGGAATTCAATGAGCCTCCCTTTCCTTTCTCTGCTCCTCTTGGCTCTCTGCTGTCTGGAAGGCCACTGCTATTCCCTGCTACTCTCGCTTCAATGAATTCCTGCCTTACCTACACTCTTCCCATGTGCTCGAGAATTCTTTCTCATTCAGAGTCAAGAACCCTCTGCCATCCAGGTTGAGGTTTCTCTTAGTTCTTCACCTAGTATGCAGGAAGAGACCTCCCCAGATGCAGCTGCCTGGCAAAAATATGGCTCAATAATTACTCCCCTAAAATGTCCATGTTCTAATCCCTGAAACATGCACCTTTATGTTCTATAAACATAGAATTAAGGTTGCTATTCAGCTCACCTTAAAATAAAGAAGTTATTCTGGATTGTCCAGGTGGGACTAATATAATCACAAGGGTCCTTAAAAGGGAGAAGAGGGAGACAAGATGAGAACAAAGAAATGGTAACAGGAGACAGACTCTAAGTGGGCCTGATGTCCTCAGCTTTGAAAATGGAAGAAGGAAGCAAAAAATATGGGTGTTTTCTATAAGCTGGAAAAGGCAAGGAGATGGATTCTCTCCCTCCAGAAGTAACACATAGTGGTATGGACACCGGGGGAGTCCTCCAGAAGTGCAGGATAATAAATACTGTCTCAGCCACGAAGTTTGTGGTAATTTATTACAGGAGCAACAGGAAACACTGCCAAACTGTTTCCAAAGCAAATTTTATCAATTCATACACATAGGGAGCTTTGAAAAATATTCATACTTCAGCCCCACACCACACTAACTGGAATCTTTGGAGAGGCCCAGAAAAATTATTTTAAGGTTATTAGGTGATTCTGATCTATCTTGAAGGTTGAGAACACTTATCTAAAGCCTTAAATCTAAATCCAGTTCTCATCATTGAATAACAATGTGGCAGTAATTTGGCCACAGGATTGAAAGCAGTTCCAGTAAAGACTGTTCAAGTACTAGAAGGGTCTCTCTCCCTTGCCTGCTCATAATTAACACAGTGAACCTTTTACACTGCCTTGTGGTTGAACAATCAGTTCCTGTAAGATAATTTATAAAAGAGCATTAAGACTAAGGTCCCTTTTGTACTTAGAGAAGATTTTTCTTCAATGTGTTATGAAGTGGTTCTTTCAGAAAATGCCACAATTTGGCACCTTGACCTTGAAGAAGAGCTTGACTTCAGGAACTAGTAATACTTGCAATTCCTCAAAGAGAAGCTCTGGAAAACAGTGATGACAGCTCGCCTGGTCCATGGGGTACTGCAGTCTTTCCAGCTGCTCATGCTCAGGCTACAGCAGGCAAGATGACTTTGCACCATGACCCTGGAGGAATTATGAACAAGAAGATACAATGTTTTTTTAATGACTATTATATCTATTATGGTAATCTGTGATCAGTGGATTTTTTAAATTAAAGTATCATTGATATACAATCTTATGTTGGTTTCAAATACACAACACAGTGGTGGTTCAATAGTTACCTGTATTATTAAATCCTTACCACCTCCAGTGTGGTCACTATCTATCAACGTAGTAAGATGTTACAGAATCATTAACCATATTCTCTATGCTATATGCTATACTATCATAACCAGTTTATTTTGTGATTGCAAATTATTGTGTGCCTTTATCCCCTTCTCTCTCCCCACTATTCACCTCAACTCCTCCCCCTTGGTAACCACTAGTCCCTTCCTGGTATCTGTGAATCTGCTGCTATTTTGTTCCTTTGTTTTGCTTTGTTTTTATACTCCACAAATAAGTGAAATCATTTGGTATTTGTCTTCCTCCACCTGGCTTATTTCACTAAACATAATATCCTCTAGATCCATCCATGTTGTTGCCAGAAGGTGGTTCTTAACAGCTTGAGCAGGTTGGGCTGCAGGTGGAGGCTCTGGGCAGGGTGTCCCTACTATCCCTCTTTTGCCAGGGTATTCTTGAGATGAAAGGTCAGTGAGCTTCTTACATTGCAGCAGGGATCCTGGAATTAGCTTCTTTGGTAGTGTTATCACCAACTGCTGGGCCCCACTTGGCAACAAATTTACACGTCTTGATAAATCCTAGGCAGTTTCCATCACAAAGAAATGTCATCAAAAGGAATGAAGAGTCATCCAATGTTGAAACTATAAATTACTTGAGTTAATGAGGTTCCTGTCAAAAGTCAATAGCACTGTTTCTCTTTAAATTTTGGAACACTCCATGGCATGCTGACATCCCTATAGTGCACTAGGAGTGCCTTAGCACAAAGTTTGAGAAACATGGCTATGACCATTTAGGAAGTGAATGATTCTCATTTTTAATTTGAATGAGTATTCAAGATAATAATTTCTTCCAAAGTGCTACTTCTGTAAGGTCTAGTATAAACTGACGCCCTCTAACCTGAAGATCCCCCCTCTAAGTCCCACAGGAGATCCTTTTAAATGACCACAGCAGTAACACAGGCCTGTCCAATTCTGATCTCTTCCGACAGAGAACATGTTGGATATACCTAAAACTACCTTGGAAGAAGAGCAGTTTCCTATTTTAAGTGAAATAAATTAGAAATTATACTATTTAAAAAGTAGTCTATTAACTTAGAGATTGACTATCATTAAGAAAACACTGGCAGGCACTAATAAATACTAAGAAATAAAAATTCATTCTATTGCATATTTATAAGAATTCTTAATGACTTTTCTACCCCTCAACATTTCATATCTGATTTTTGCATTCAGTTAATCAAACAGATAAGATAGATTTAAATTATAGAAAACAACTTTACCTGGATTCATAAGGCAGTATACCAAATAATTGTTCATTCTAGAAAGAGGCTATTAATTGTAAATATTCCCTCTAAGAATATAAGTTCTGACTAATAACCTGCTTACAATATAGTTAATAATAAATATAATTAGATATTACATATATTACAAGTAACAATCCAGACTAGATCATAAAAAATGTATAGAACAAGGTTAAGACACAGAAAAATTGAATGCCATCAAAGGAGAGAACAAGTTCAAGTGAAAATTTTCCAATGCATTTTATTCATAATGTAGCCATATATAAAATGCTGGAGGAAAGTCCACATATTTGAAGTCCTTGTTGGTAGTAATTAAGAGGCAGAAATTTTCTATTCATTATCCTGTCCAGTCCCACAATCAGAAGCAATCTTTGATTTTTTAGATGCTTCATAAGCTTTTATAATAAGCCTTAGGTGAGTAATGATTTCCTTGTCTGATGTTTTTACGTTAAATCCCAACATCTTCATAATAGTTTCTTGAAAGTCAACAAGCTACAAAAAAATGCCACAAAAATTAAGACATTAGTTTTGGTTACCTATTCATTGTGTACAATGAAATGGGTATTAGAAATTTAGTCTGATTAAATATTTCTTTATGAAATGTAATATGTTCTACATTCAATAGTATTTTTAAGCCAGAAAACATGGTCTCTTCTATTACAAGAGCTCCTTATTTAAAATTTTCTTTTCATTTCAAGATGTTTTCCCTTATTTTTACACTTTTATAGATTAAACCTAATTTTATTGCTACTTGTTTTTCACTCATAAGGTAATTCCTTTTCAGAATTCTGATTTGATGTATGGTATTAGTAGTCCCCTAAACACATATCTCTCCACCAATCTTCCAAAAACCCATAGTGATCAACAAAGAAAGCAGACAAAACCACCCATAAACCATTCCTAAAGCATAAAGAACACCAGACTTGAGTTTGCATATAAATGGGGAAAATAAATATCCTCAACCAGTAGAGGCAGCTCCAGAGGCCACGGGAGAGGATGCACTCATTTCTACTGGTGTCCCAGAAATGGGACTGGGGATAAGTAGGGAAACACTAAGAACAAGTCTGAGACTTGGTGGATCAGAACACCAGCAAGTGGAGAAGGGAAAGGGGCATGGAAGCCAGAACTGGCAATTCTGGAAGGCAAAGTTTCTGAGGGAGAAGGAGATACTTGGAAGTGTGAGGTGTTCCTTGGATACTTGATAAAGGAAAAGAAAAAAAGCAAACAGTGGCAAAATAAGGGACTTCTATAAACAAGAGAGTTAGATATCACATTAACTGCAGCCCAACATAAAAGGCTTCATGCAGTAAACTTTAGAAACTGCACCTCACAGTGCCAACAGGAGAGGGTGGTATTGAGCTAAGAAACCTAGTAAATAAACCCTTCCACAGAGGGAGCAAGACAATTTAAAGGGATTTTTAAATGAATAGATAAATGGCAAATAATAAACACACAAAATTACTTTAAGAAGAAAATAGGCAGTATTGTCCAAACTGTTCAGGTGATGAAAGTACTCCCCCAACTAAAATCAGCCATGACGCAGAGGCAACATGTTTGATGCAACCCCTGATGTGAATTAAATATCAATTAAATAAGGTCACAGACATGGGGGAGAAACACCTTTTTTTTTTTATTAAGATATCATTGATATACTATCTTATGCTCAGGTTTCACACGAGCAACATTATGGTTACTACATTCCCCCCTATTATCATGTCCCCACCACATACCCCATTACAGTCACTGTCCATCAGCATAGTAAGATGCTATAGAGTCACTACTTGTCTTCTCTGCAAAACATCTTTCTTTTGAATCAGAAATGTAAAATTTCATAATATAAATAGAGAAAAAAGATACCTAAGGTGTCTCATGGACAAGAAAGATGTGGTGATTGAACTCAGGTAAGAACAAAACAAAATCATCTCAGAAATAAAGAGTAAACTACTGGAGAGCTCAATGCAGAAGAGATCTGACTGAAAATAAAATAAGGAATACGAATATTCAGAAATTAAAAACATATATATTTTTAACTTTATGCTTTATGAATCTCTTAAGGTAATTGGTTCCAGTTACATATTTCTTAAGAACTAATATATGGAGGTATAGCAAATAATTTTGCAATAGTCCGAAAATACCAATTAGTCTTTTATAAATTCTCTTAAAGTATTTGTTTTAAAATAACAGTAAAAATCTAAGCAAATTTAGAAGCATTACCTTCTTGTCCTAGAAAGTGACCCAGCCAGCCCCAAACTCATGGTTTCTCCTGAACTTTCATTCTCTCACATTCCTATCCTCCTTGTTATTGGCTAGTCAGAGGATCTGTATGCAAACCTAAGCTAAGATCATATATCCCATCTCTCCAACTGTGGATTCACCAGGAGTAGGCATTTGCCCAAAACTGGTTTATAAGTTCTTTTCTTTATATTTTCTCTCTTATCACAGAAACTCTAAATATAAAACTGTGGCTATCAGACAGACAAGGTGATGCACACAGAGAGATGACAAAAAGAAATGGTGAGAAAAAACTTATAAAGTTCCATGTACTGACTGTGTGGCCCATGGGTATCTCTGCCCTCTCAGAAGTCTAGTTGTTTAACTCTCCTGTAATTCCATAAGCCAATAAATTCTCTTTTGTCTAAGATAGGTAGTCTCTAAGTTGAGACTGGTGTTTATCACTTCAACTTAACAAATCTTAATATAGTAATAATAATTTTTTAAAAACCTCTTGTTGTCCTGATGCTTTTTTAAGTGTGCTCTCTGCTGTGCAGAGCTCAGGAGTGACAGCATGTAACATCTGATGGCCCCTCTCTTTGTCCCATCTTGCCACTTGCTCAGCAGAGATTAATGTAGTTTTCAAGTTGTCTGTTTTCATAACAGTCTTCCCTTTCAATGCTTCAGCTTTTGTTAGAGATTGCCTGAGCTTTTCGAATGTTTTGTCCTGTGAGGATACAAGGTTGGGGGAAAGGGAGGAGATGACTGTGATTAGATCTCTTCTAAACAACAAATAAACATGATGTATGATAACTCATGCTTCTTTTCCCTCTTCCTCTTTTTGTTTTTCTGAACCAGATACATGGAAAAGAAAGAGAATTCCACAATTTATGAATTAAAAGGACATTTTCCCACCATCATGAGCATCAAAAACCAACAATCACTGAGCACTTTTATGACCTAGGCACTTAGAACTTAAAGAGGATGAACATGTGTTCCATGTCCTCAAAAGTCTTAAAGCCTGTGCTAATCAAACACAGAAATAAAGAAAATCTTACTTTGCAGTAAGAGAATTATTGCTGATACACTGGCAAAAATATAGTTGATCAACAAGTATTTAATGTACTATTGGTTTATGGCATAAAACATATGTTTGAAATACAACTGAAGCTTGATATAAAGGTCCACAGAAGAGGCCCCAAAATGACTAAAACTTTTAACTATTACCCAAATAAGAAAGACAAAAGTAAGACTAGATAAAAAGGAATCTAGGGGGGCGGAGCCAAGATGGCGGCGTGAGTAGAGCAGTGGAAATCTCCTCCCAAAAACACATAGAGCTATGAAAATATAACAAAGAAAAATCTTCCTAAAATAGAGACCACAGGACACAGGACAACATCCAGACCACATCCACACCTGCAAGAACCCAGCGCCTTG